AAAAAAAAAAAAAAAACCTTGTTTATTTGCAGCAACACATACAGTGCCAAGTTCTTCAATATAATTTTAATGTCTATTTAACTTTAATGTCTTGTGCTGAGTTTTCTTTGCTTGTGCTTCCTCTCGCTGCAGGTGTCTTTAGTGGGCATCGTCAGAGGATTCGCGCCCTTCGTGACGAACGTCCAGTACTCTGTGGATGACATGACTGGTCCGCCTTTAAGCGTGAAGCAGTGGGTTAACACAGAGGCCAGTAGCATCAACAGGCTCTGTCCACGACTACAAGAGAATTTGAGAAAACAAATGAACGCTGCAAACTGTGATACCCGTGAATAGTCAGTGTCAAATTCTGTTTCTCACAGGACTGCGCTCTGACATTGGTTTCCCCTGGAACATATGTGAAGGTTACTGGAAGTCTACGCAGTTTCAATGTAAGTAAAACAGAGTTTAGAGATGGTGAGCATTGAAGGTGATTTTTGTGACAATATACTGTATGAGACTCAATCCTTTATGTTGCATTAGGGTCAAAGGTCAATGCTGGCAATGGATATCCGTTGCATCAAGGACCTGAATGAAATCACATCCCACATGTTGGAAGTGGTACAAGCCCATATGCAGCTTTTTGGAAAGGTATGGGAGCACAAAGTATTCTGTGATTTAACTGCAGATTTGTACTGATTTTTTTTTTAAAGATACAGAAATTCTCCACTGAAACTCAGAAGTTGACATGTTAATGTACATCATGCTGGAGTTTGAATCACTTTAGGTGCAGAATGTTCCTACTATAGGCTTGTAATATTTTGTAAATGGTATGTTATTGTTTCTCCAGGCATTTGATGTGAATATGAATCCCACTGCTGTCCCGCAGTCTGGAAGAGTCTTCAGTCACGGTGGTGGTGGGCATCCTGAAGGCGTCTTACCAAACAGTCTTTCCACCATCCAGGGTCAGGTTGGTGGGTTTAAATGGTCACTTCACCCAAAGCAGACATGTTTTCATCACTTCATCATCACTGCTTTCCAGCAGCAATATTTAGGCAAAAAGAGTAAAAAGCTAACCTACTAACTACACCACTAAACTACCAACTTGTAATTGAATCTGAAGGTTGGAGTTTGAGTTAGAATAGCTCAAGGTTACTTTATTTGTACCCACAGGTAGATTTGTTGACAAAATAATATAAGAACAATAAACAGGATGTCCAATAATCTGAATAATATGCCTTAAAATGTCCTTAAATAGGATTTGGACAAGTCTTAAATTAGGTCAGGTCTAATTGATTGGGTAATGAAGTTAATGTTACCTGTATAAAGTTCAGTCTAGTGTTTTTTGGGAAAAAAATGTTGATCACACAACAACTGCAACACAAAACCTGGTTAAATACATGGAACCAATACTGAATTTCCTTCATATCCTTTGTACATTTTTTGCCAGTATAGATGTAAAAATTGCATTCATAATGGTCTTTAAAAGAGTTGAAAGCTGCAGAAACCTTGGTGAAACAAAGAACATTTGTTGTTGGAGATCATTTTCATGTTAAAATGAAAAACTGAATTACAGCAGCTCATTGCTGCAAGCATGCGAAAAAAAGAATTGCTCAGTTACTCACAGTACAGTGGGGGGAATAGATATTCCTTTTGTGGACCTAACTCTACTATCAACTTATATTATACAATATTTACAAATTCATTTAATAAAAATCTACAAATAAGTATAAAGTATTTTTTGCAATATAATTACTGCATTTGGAAGACTCAACAGCAGAAAATAATTCACAATCAAGACCGTCCACAGTGAGGTAGCCATGGCGCTGACTCTGGAAAGGCACATCACTGTTGACGAAAATATATAAACTGAACCTGTCTCTGTGAAATGCTACGTGACGGCAGAACAGGGCTGGAAGTTAATTTTCATGATTCTTGTGTGAGGTGTTGCATGTAATCAGGAGGTTCTCTGTCCATGTTGGCATCAGTTTACGTGACCTGAAGATACAGCTGGACCACCTGAGTATAAAAGACATCAGGTACTTCAGTCCTAACCTCACTATACCTACTGTACTGTATGTAATCTGTGGATGCAGCCACTATACAGGCCCAGTCCATACTAATATTTTAGCATATGTTTGGTGATGAGGGATTGGATATTGCTAGTAGCCTATCACTTCATATACTGTATACTTATTATTTATCTATATTTTTCTTTGTGTGTGCAGAGATTCCTTAGTGTTTCTGGTAAATGAAGGTCATGTGTTCACCACCATCGACGACCATCATTTCAAATCACCAGATCAATAGCGGGCTGCCTGGAGGCCAGTGAAACATCAAGACATCAGTCCTGGATCACAGCTGATCAGGATGTACCCACATTTTAATGTGACATAAATCTAATTATTTTGGTTAAATGTAGTTATTTATTAATGACGTACTGTAGCTGGTTGCTGTCTGTCTTGAATCATGTATAATGAACACAGATAGATAACCTGTTACAGGGTTTATAGTGTATCATTTGTTGCCTGTAAAGAATTACTACACTGATGTGTTGCTCAGGCTTCCTTATGTTTGATCATTTCTATATAATGTTTTGTTTCTAATTTATTTGTGTGCTAAATTTGTGGGTACCCTGCAAATATGTCATGATTGTTGGACATAAAGAGAAGTTTAAAATGTATTTCATGCCTGTTTTTTCCTTTAGAACTACGGTCCAAATGTGTCTGCCTTGGTGCAGTCCTCAGTTTCCCAGAATTCAAGACAGAAAACAAGATACATGTGGGTGAAGGCAAAGCCAAACTAACCTTTTGACTGGAGTTTGCATGTTGGGTAGACAGCAGCAGCTCCTGTTACATTAGTTAAACCCTCATCCTAGCGACTGGGGTACCTGCAGACCCCAGAGGGTATACTCTTCGGCCTGTCCCACAGGTGCTTTATTCTAATATTCCAGTCAGCATGTTCGTGTAGACTTTATATCAATGTTTTTTGTTTTTAATTTGTACTTTTAATGTATTTAGGTCCTGCAGGATTCCAATCAAAAGCAAAAAAAAAAGTTTTTAATAGATGGAACATTTTATTGAGCTCATGTTTGAGTTAATTTGTGCCATGGGTCCTAATTTAAAGTATCACACACTATGAGGGGGTGGGGGCACTCTATAAGTCAGTTTGAAGGAGACAGACACAGATTTCCTCATGTGCTCTGTCTATTTTGGTTTTACACAATTTGCATATTAACTAACTTTCCTAAAATAATAATCTCTGTTGGGTTTTCACTGACACTGATCACATAACTAATAAGAAATAAGTTAAGTTTTTGCTATGCTGGTTGTTTCTTACAGTAGTTTATTCTTGGGTTCCCGAGGGCCCCTTAGTCTGTAGTACTTGTGTGTTCGCTATGTTGGTAATATTATTATTATTATTATTATTATTATTATTACCAAAATTCGGAAATGAATAACATTTTCTCTCTGAAAAGGGAAATGTTTCTGTTCAATAAACTGCAAAAATATCACTTAAGTTATTCTAAACCAAATATGTGTTTAGTGGAATTTAATTTAAAGTTTGAATTCTATCACTAACAAGGCAAGACCAAAATTATATTTTCATGTTTCATGAGCTCAAACATGTAGATTAAATTTCAGTTAAAAAGTAGTACAAACACTACAACAGCTACATTTAAATGCGTGGTTTGTGAGATAATACCCCAGAGAATAGCAAACGAAGCCCCATAAAGAAGCTGTCTTAATAACTGTTGGTTCTCTTCCATCACATGCTAACTTATTGTCTTGGGAGTGCTGATCTAATGCAAGTGTGTTGCAGTTGACATGATACACACAGGCTGTCAATGGCTTCAAGAGTCTGGAACTGAGTGTGTTTACGTGTAGTTTTCCTAATAATGGCTCATTTTCTCAGTATGTTTGGTTTAGTATCCCCGGAGAACTGAGCCTATATAGGTCATAAAAAATGAGCTGTAAACAGAATTGGGCACATACAAGCTTAGAAGCCCAACAGTAGCCCATCATGTGAGTTATGGCAGCAGGCCTACTTTATATGAAGACTAATGTGATTCTTGGTGTCTACAAATGTCTTGTAAACATGCTATGCTTTCCTTAATATTGATATCAGTAAACAATATTGGCAGCTATGGATCATTCTCCATTAATTTTCCTTTACAGATGACTGCAGGGTTCAATTACAGGTCAAACCATTCGTAAGCTTATGTTATCGATTGGCTCAGAGAGAATTCTATCAGACCTGTTTCTAAAACAATCAAATGGGACACCCTTTTAACTGGCTTTTGAATACTGTACCGGTTATACATTGTAGAGATATCTTCTTTTATATTAATTTATGTGTGGTAAGCAAAGCTGCTCTATGGGCTGAGGACACCTAACTCCCACCTGCAGCAGTGTGGTAATGGGTGTGTCTCCTCGTGGGCAATCTGAAATGATGTTATGCAAGTAAAAATGATTGCATATCACTGCAGCAAGGCCTGACTGCCTGTGCTGAGCTACCCCAGGCTTCATGGAAAGGCCTCTTGTTTTGTGCGGCTGGGGAGGGCTTACTGTCCACTGTTCCATCAAGAAAGGCAGGAAGGACTACCATCCTTGTCACCGATATGGTGTAGACTTTGTGTACATGAGCACATCTGATGTGTCCATCTGCACTTTGGTTACACCTCTTTCACGGTAGACAACTTGACACAATGACCCACCTGGCTGCCCCATTGGCGAGTGGTTGGGTGTCATAGGATCAGGGTCAAGGACTCTGGAGGACACAATGGTTTCAAATGTAGGATACCCTCCACTACAGTCCCCTAATCGAACAGGTGAGTGGATGTGCCACCTTGGTGGATGTCGATCAGTGGAGACTGATGACATTTTAATCTTCTTTATTAGGGTGTGTGTGTGTGTGGTTAATAGGTAAAAACGCACACCACCACACCCTACTCGTTAAACCTGGTTCCCCTGTTGCCTTTGAGGGGTGTTAATTAGTTCTCCAGCAAGTGGCGCATTTGCTCAACTTACTAAAGATAAATGAATTCTGAACTGTCCATGCCCATAACCTTTCCAACAGGAAGTGCTGTCGTTTGTTTTCATATAGAAAACCCAGTGGCATGAAATGAGTCTACGCAGCCACCTGCCACTTCACTTAAAAAAGAACCTCAAATAACAGCAGTAACAATTTACACAGCAGCCAGAGTTTGTTAGTGTAACCCCTTTTCACAATTCATCTGAACCATTTGCAGATTCAATCTATTTCCCATCTGTTGCAGTTGTGCAGTTGTGCTGTTTTTTCCCCCCACTAGCATTACAAATACATCATTGTGCTTCCAGCCAAGTGTTTCTTGGATCATCTTAACAGCACTTTAGAACCCCCTTTTGACAGTGGAATCTTTAGGGGTTGGGTCATTTTTGTAAGTAAGGTCGTTTCACACAACTACTACAACTACAATCATTTTTACATCTGAGTGCAACACCATGAATGCTTTCGAGGGCGAACTGTCCATAAGTGTGCGTGTTTTTTCCCATTTGTACGATTCTTCGTGTAGATACAAGAGAGAGAGATTAGGAAGGCAATGTGGTGCAGCCAGCAGCCGGGTATGATAGCAGATTTTCACCCCTCCTTTGAGTGTGGCCGTTTGGAACCAGGTATGAACATATTTGCAAGATTTCTTGATCTGCGAGATTGCTTTGTAATGGTCTTCACAGTCCCCAGAGAATGTCTTCTAATGACTTTGGTCACCCTCTGACCTTTTGTGAAGCATGGCTGTCAGGTCAGTATTCCCCTAGACAGCACTTTGGTTCATAACAAGGTGTTTCATAAAACTGATGGCCGAACTCTATGAAATTTGGTATGGGCGTGTATGATCCCTGGATGATGAGTCTCGCTGACCCAATGACATTTCCTCTTCATCCAGCATCCCCACTGAACCAACATCTACACATGTTAATGTTATAACTTACAAAATAGCATTAAATATTACAATATTTGTGTATATAATTACGTATTTGGTTGTGTTTTCTCACTTTGCAGCATTTTTTATAAATACTTGGTGATTATGAATTAATTTGTGTTTTGTCTGTTTGCATGTGAACAGGAAATGAAAGCTCCAGGTGAGTTTTAATTTCTACATTCACTACATGAACATATATTGTGTGGTAGCAAGTTATTTAACATTACTGTCAAGTCTTTCTTTTGGCTAGAAGTGTATTTTAATTAGAACTTTTTAAAATTAAAAGTCACCTTCTGTTTATTATCATGATTATTATCATTATTATTATTATGTTTTGTATTATTTATTTTATATATAATTTATTTATATTATTATTTGCTTACAATACATGATTGAAAAGCATGTCATTGAATGCCAAAATTAAACTGAATAATAATCAACATTAATATTCAGGAAAGACATTTAGCCCACTTTTTTATGGATAGGGGATACTGATCCAAAAACAGTTGAGAACCACTGTTACTACTGCTTCACTTCCTGCTTTTGCATTCAAGTTGAGGCTTTTGCAGTTGGTTCAACACCTCTCGGCCACTGTTGAAATGATTATTACAACAGAAAACACTTAGAAAAATGATCCTGACCCAAAAAAATACAATCACCTTTTTTGTTGTTGCCTGTTTTAACAGAAAATAAATATCCTGGTAATCCTTTTTTCCACCTGTTTTTACGTCATAAACACAGGAGAGAAAACAATTTAGATCAGACTTAGAAAATGGATCCCCCACATGTTTTTTTTCACTTGCCTCTCAGGGCTTTCGTTAAATTTATATTAATGGATGTTATGTTTTTCTTTATTGGCAGAGCAAATTTAAAAATTTAAATCCGTTTTTATGTTAAGAGAGACAGTACATTTCTGAGAACACATTATGCACTTGGTCATTGACACACTTGTTAAAAATGCTAATTTTTAATATGGGATATTATCATTCAGATTGGAAGATTTATTCTAGCCACTAGTTTGGGTGTTGGTTGACATTGTGAGCTGCTCCTAATGGGGTATTTAATATTCCTACATTTGTAAGTTAATTTCCCTCTTCCATTAATCATTAAAAATGGCAAGGATGTGAGACCTGAGATTTTTAACGTTAGTTTCTGAACTTCTGTTTATGTGCGTGTACATGTTTCTAGTTCCACAGAATAGGTGCATTGTGTTTTTTTTAAGCGTTTCCACACCACACAAGAACAAAAGAGGTAGAAACAGTCATACTGGCATTTTTTTAATGTCATCTCTATTATTTGTCTCTTTTCCATGTCTCACTGTTTTCTAATCATAATAAAGAAAAGAATGAAAACTTTGGCTCTGGTGTTCTTTGTATAGCAAATGGCACTTTCCTGGGACGAATACGCCTGGAACCACTCAAGCCCCAGCAGGCTCCATTAGACTCCACTGTGTTGTTCAGGGCATTTACACAGGTCTGCATAAAAAAAAACCCAGACCCAAGGCAGAACCGCACCAGGGGAACTGAAGGCAGGAGAGGATGAAGAGCTGAAAGGCCTGCTGGGATTGCCTGAAGAGGAGATAGACGTGCATGGATTCAATCTTTGTTTGTCGCTGTTGGTTCTCAGCAGGGTGTTCAAAAAGTCTGGATTCAAAGAGGGATCCTTTTCTTTCCTGAATGTGAGCAGCTCCAAACTCCAGATTTGTGAAAGAAGAGCTGTATTTC